CCTGCTCCCCCCCCCCCCCCCCCCCCCCAGGAAAGAGTTTCTCTTAATATCCAACCTAGACCTCCCCCACTGCAACTTGAGACCAACTTGGCTCCTCGTTCCGTCATCTGTTACTACTGAGAACAGCCTCTCTCCATCCTCTTCGGAACCTCCCTTCAGGAAGTTGAAGGCTGCTCTCAAATCCCCCCTCGCTCTTCTCTTCTGCAGACTAAATAAGCCCAAATCCCTCAGCTTCTCCTCGTAGGTCATGTGCTCCAGCCCCCTCATCATTTTGGTCGCCCTCCGTTGGACCCTTTCCAATGCGTCCACATTCTTTCTGTACTGGGGGCCCCAGAACCAGACGCAAACTCCAGATGAGGCCTCACCAGTGCCAAATAAAGGTGAATAATCACTTCCCTAGATTAGCTGTCAGTGCTCCTCCTAATACTCCCTAATATGCCATTAGCCTTGTTGGCTACAAGGATGCACTGTTGACTCATATCCAGCTTTTCATCCACTGTCATCCCCAGGTCCTTTTCTGCAGAAATTCTACTTAGCCATTCGGTCCCCAGCCTGTAACAGTGCTTGGGATTCTTCCGTCCCAAGGGCAGGACTCTGCCTTGTCCTTGTTGAACCTCATCAGATTTCTTTTGGTTTGTAGTTCCCTGGACTGTCCTCCTTCCCCACCCCCCAACCCCCCCCCTTTTTTTTTGAAGATGGGCAGTACATTTGCCTTTTTCAAATTACCTAGTACCTCTCCTGATCGCAAAGATAATGGCCAAAGGCTCTGCATTGACATTTGCCAACTTCCTCAGTACCCTCGGATGCATTAGATCCGGCCCCATGGATCTGTGTATGTCCAGCTTTTCTAAATTGTTCTTAACCTGTTCTTTCTCCACCGAGGGCTGCCCACCTCCTTCCCATTCTGTGTTACCTAGTGCAGCAGTCTGGGAGCTGACCTTGTCTACGAAGACAGAGGCAAAAAAAACATCAAGTACTTCAGCTTTTCCCACATCGTCTGTCACTACATTACCTCCCTCATCCAGTGAGGACTCCACCCCCTCCCTGATCACCCTCTTATTGCTAACATGCCTGTAGAAACCTTTCTTGTTACGCTTCACATCCCTTGCTAAGTGCAATTCCAATTGCACTTTGGCCTTCCTGGATTCTTGCGCAATATATTTATATACCTTCCTAGTCATCTGTCCATTTTTTTGCGATGAGGCGATCACATCTGTACGCAGTATTCAAGATGTGGGTGTACCATGCGTGTATATAGAGGCAATAAGATATTCTCTGTCTTATTCTCTAGCCCTTTTTAAAGGATTCCTAACATACTGTTTGCTGTTTTGACCACTGCTGCACATTGAATGGATGTTTTCAGAGAACTATCCACAATGACTCCAAGATCTTCCTCAAGCGATAATAGATAATTTAGTCCTCATCGTTTTGTATTTATAGTTGGAATTTTGTTTCCAATGTGCATTACTTTGCATTTATCAACATTAAAATTCATCTGCCATTTTGTTGTCCAATCGCCTTGTTTTGAGACATCCTTTTGAAGCTCTTCGTGGTCCACTTTGGACTTAACTATCTTGAGCAATTTAGTATCATCTGCAAATTTTGCCTCTTACTGTTTACCCCTTTCTCCAGACCATTTATGAATATGTTGAATTGGATTGGTCCCAAGAGAGACCTTTTCGGGACACCACTAGTTACCTCTCTCCATTCTGAAAACCTACTATTCATTGCTAGCCTTTGTTTTCTGTCTTTTAACCACTTATCAATCCATGATCTTCCCTCTTATCCCATGACATGTTATTTTGCTTAAGAAGTTTCGCTGAGGGACCTGGTCAAATGCTTTTAGAAATCTAAGTACGCTTATATCCACTGGATCCCCTTGGCCCACCTGTTAGTTGACCCTTTCAAAGAATTCTAATAGATTAAGTATCAGAGGGGTAGCTGTGTTAGTCTGGATCTGCAAAAGCGACAAGGAGTCCTGTGACACCTTATAGACTAACAGATGTATTGGAGCATAAGATGCATGTGATGAAGTGGGTCTTTGCCCACAAAAGCTTATGTTCCAATACATCTGTTAGCCTATAAGGTGCCACAGGACTCCTTGTGAGTCATGATTTCCTTTTATAGAACCATGTTGACTTTTCTCCTACAAATTATATTTATCCACGTGTCTGACAATTCTGTTCTTTACTATAGTTTCAACCATTTGTCTGAAGTTAGATTTACTACCCTGTAATTGCCAGGATCACCTCAAGAGTCCTTTTCAAAAGTTGGCATCACATTAGCTGTCCTCCAGTCATTTGGTACGGAAGATGATTTAAAGGATAAATTACAAACCACAGTTCATAATTCCCCAGTCAGAACCCTTGGGTGAATGCCATCTGGTCCCGGTGACGACTTATTGTTTCATTTATCAATTTGTTTCAAAACCTCCTGTAATGACAGCTCAGTCTGGGACAATCCCTCAGATTTGTCACCTAAAAAGAATGACTCGAGTTTGGGAATCTCCCTTGCAACCTCAGCCGAGAAGACCGATGCAAAGAATTCATTCAGTTTCTCTGCAATGACCTGACTGTCCTTGAGTGCTCCTGTCACATCCGTTAGAGGAGGCTCAGGGTGGGGTTCACTTGAGGCAGACCACAAGCAGGGATGTTCAGGCTGAACAGAAACTAAAATTGCTGAGTAGAGGGGCTGGGATACAAATGCACCTACAATGCAGCTCCCACAAGGACGCACATCTTGAAGAGCCATTGTTATTGTACACGATGCGTAATTACTTCTTCCCCTTATAGAAATAGCCAGCACAGTGTGTGCAAATTTGTTGTGTCCCTACATGAAGACTGGATAGAGTCCTGGCTGAAAATGTGGTCCAGAGCTTCTGTAAATGTTTGTTGTACTTGGGAGGCGGGCAGCACCGAGAGACAGATTATATGTTCCTTTGCTAGGAATAGCAAATACCCTGTGCACCAGCTGTTCCAGTCCTCTTCCTGTTTCTTACTAACCTGCGTTTGTCACTTCTATGTTAATAAATAAATATGATGAAATACCTGCCACTGGCTTAAGAGCCACCAGAAGTAACCCCGATTCTTCTTCTTCTCTCCAGTGGATTCTTCTAATTTCCGTGTGGACACTGCTGTTATCAAGCAGCGAGTTCCGATCTTACTCAAGTACCTAGACTCGGATACAGAGAAGGAACTACAAGCACTTTATGCACTACAAGCATCAATAGTAAAACTTGATCAGCCTCCTAGTAAGTGGCATTTGGTGGGGGGGAGGGGAGGATTTAAGAAATGACTATTTTGCATTGAAGGGAAAAATCCAGTCTGGGTCTCGGTCTGGGATATTGTGCTCTTTCTGCTGGTGGAACAAATTGGTTGGGTGGGTGCCAGGGGGGCTCAGGACAAACTACTATTACAGCACCCAGTTATTTAGTTCATGGCTTAAGACCAGTGCTCTTGCCCGCAGCACCTGTATTGGCTTCCATGAGGAAATCTGCACCAGGCTCTTGAGTTTTCAGCCATCATCTGTCTAGGGCAAAGACATGGGTTTCTCTGCCTCCTGACAGGGGTTTTCCAGGCTGTCCAGTTACGTGTCTACACTGCGATGTTCCTAGCAAACCAGGCTCCCCAAACAGGCCAGCGTCTGTGCTTTGCTTTCTCCCGAAGGCTCAGACCAGCTGCACTGGCCAGCAGAGCTGAGTTACCACACAGCCCTTTCTAAGCACATCCATCTATTCTACAGACTGCAGAACTATAAACGAAACTTATTAAAAACAATAAAGAGCCTGTTTGCATGATAATAAGTCTACCAGACTCCAACACACCTCAGCTCCAACTGGGGCTCTGGTGGAAATTGGTCCTTCAAACCCCACAGTTTTTCTATGGTTACTAGTTCATAGCGCCTGAGCTTAGAATGAGAACACCCATGCATCAGTCGTCCCCTACACAGCTTGAGCCTTTGAACTTGAGGTTTTGGGAACAAGCGAACAGCGATCTCCACGGCTGACTTTTTGCATAAATGGGAGGGGGGTTTGCATTCACCTCCCCTAGAAATTACCCCAAGGAAATCATTTGACATTGTCCCCAAAGCCCATTCTTGTCTGGAGCCTTGTGCAGTACGGTTGTTTGAAGTTCATAATATTGCCTGCGGTTCACCTCACATTCCCCCCCAGAGAGATTAGAACCCCAGGGCTGGAAGAGAACTCACGAGGTCATCGAGTCCAGCCCCCTGCCCAAAGCAGGACCAGCCCCAACTCAGCCCTCTCAGCCAGGGCTTGGTCAAGCTGGGACTTAAACAGTTCTGGGCATATCTAGACTGCAAAGAATGTCGGTAAAAGATATGCGAATTGCAAACTCCAATTTGTGTATCTTTTTCCGTTTGTCTTTCAAAAGAGGCTTTTCTGAAAATTGGCCTGTCTACACAGGGCCAAATTTTGGAAAAACCTCCCCTTTCAGCACAACCCTTCTTCCTCATACAATGAGGATTATAGGAATGGCGAAATAAACTCTTCCGAAAAAGCAGACACGTTCCTTTGGCGCAGCATAGCCCTAGGGATGGAGACTCCACCCTATCCCTTGGGAACCCATCCCAGCGCTTCCTCACCCTCCTCAGGAAATAGTTTTTCCTAATATCTAACCTAGACCTCCCTCTCTGCAACATGAGATCCTTGCTCCTTGTTCTGCATCCGTCACCACTGAGAACAGCCTCTCTCCAGCCTCTTTGGAACCTCCCTTCAGGAAATTGAAGTCTGCTATCAATTCCCCCCCTCACGCTTCTCTTCTGCAGACTAAACAAACCCAAATCCCTCAGCTTCTCATAGGTCATGTGCTGCAGCCCCCTAATCATTTTGGTTGCCCTCTGCTGGACCCTCTCCAATGTGTCCACATCCTTTCTATAATGGGAGGCCCAGAACTGGATGCAATCCTCCAGATGTGGCCTCACCAGTGCAAAATAAAGGGGAATAATCACATCTGTAGATCCGCTGGCAATGCTCCTCTTAATGCAAACTAATATGCCATTAGCCTTCTTGGCTACAAGGGCACACTGTTGACTCATATCCAGCTTCTCATCCACTGTCATCCCCAGGTCTTTTTCGGCTGAACTACTACTTAGCCAGTCAGTGCTCAGCCTGTAACAATGCTTGGGGAATCTTCCGTCCCAAGTACGTTTAACATATGGCAGCATGTTTTGTAGCATCAGCAGATACTTGACTTTAGCAGGTATGTATTTTAACCTTAATAGCCTACACAGTCAAGTGACTCAATCGCTATTAACATCAATTCCCTCGACTTGCTTCTCCACTTCTCAGTGTAGTAAAGGCTGCTTTTATTCAGATTTTAAACATTTCTGTATTTCCTTGTCTACTGACTTCCGTACACTGCTAAACACATGTTCCCCCTTGCAGATCTGTTACGGATGTTTTTTGACTGCCTGTATGACGAGGAGGTGATATCAGAAGATGCCTTCTACAAATGGGAAAGCAGCAAGGACCCAGCAGAGCAGAATGGGAAAGGAGTAGCACTGAAATCAGTGACAGCATTTTTCACATGGCTACGGGAGGCTGAAGAGGAATCAGAGGATAATTAAAACTTAAAATACAGAAAACAAAACAAAAAACAATTTAAGTATTTTTTTAAAAAGTTTCACGTCTTCGCCAATCACGGTGCAGCAAGGCCAATTCTCGCGCATAACCCCCTCCTTCTCCCACACATGCACGAGTGGGAGAGGAAAAAATAGATAAACATAAAGGTGATCATGGAGGAAAAAGGTACTTGAGGAAAAAAAGTAAACTTCAGACCTGAGGGCGGGAGCACTATACCAAAATACATGTATTATTTATAGAAAATATTTTCTGTTTTAATCATTTTTTTCTTTTCTTTTTAAACAAGGACTCATACTTTTAAAAACAGATCTGTTTAGCAAAAAAAAGTTGAAAACATTAATTTATTATTTTAAGGACTGCAAATGCCAGTGTAATTCTTAAATTTGCAGTTTCTGTAAACAAATTGTATGATAGAAAAAAGCAGAGAAATAAATGTCCCTCCCCTTCAGCTGCACCTCAGTTTTGTTTCAAAGCCTGGTAGTTAAAACTTTCCAAGGGTTTGAGGTAAGCTCCATGAGAAAATGATTTTTATTAAATTGCCATCAGATTTTCTGCCTGCCTCCCAGCTTGCTTGAGAGATTAAAAAGAAAATTGTAATTAAAACACGCATTACCTTGGAGCAGAAGGAAATGTATTTGGGAAAATGCTATGGACCAGTGTGCTCCAAGAAAAACTCCTTCGAAACAAAGTGCTACCCTGAGGGGGGGCAGTACTAGTGACACTTTGAAACCCTTTAGAACACACCTTAAAGGCTTGTAAATACATAGGACAAATATTTAAACAAAAGAAAGAAAATGACTCAAGACTATTTTCATTTTGAAAAGATAAAGAACAAATAAAGACAAACATTGCAAGTTTAACAGAAAGTCAAGAGATTTCTCTTTAGACAGCTGCTGAATGCACCGTCCTCTCTGAGTGGTGCTGTCTTCCTTTGCAGTGTGTCAATTCCGGGATCCAAATGTATATATTGTGTGCCTGTGTCCGTGTGTGTGGCTACACCAGGAAAGAGGTAAATGTGGGATTGCTGCTTGAGAGACAGAATGAGGGAGGGCTGAGGAGCAGCCAGCTGTGTTACTATACGAGCCAGCTTCATCCTTTTCAAATACTGCTCGCTAGGCTGGGAGAGGAGCTATGGGGCAATAAAATAATTGACCTCTGCTTAGTTTTCCAGCTGTTTGACTACAGTGTCTTATGACTCTGCATTGTTCTGGTGATAGCGCTATCAACAGGCTGCAGCCTTCGAACCAAACAACTGACCTCTCTTCCCAATGGCTTGTACCTCATTGGCATCCAGCCACCACCTCAGCCTTTGCCTCTGTCAGGGAGATTGCTGTGCTAAAGGAGCCCAAAACCTCCAGCATTAAGCAAAAGAGGCGATAAAAATGCTGCGAGTGACAAAAAACGCTTCCCAGCTCTGCCCAATCCCTACGTCTGTATGAAGTCAACAGCCTGGGCACTGGCTTCTCTAGCGCAAATTGGAGTGCATATGCTCTCAGTGCCCAGAGATGATCCCAGCTTGCTCTTTTGCACAGGGATGGCACCAGACAAAGGTTGCTCCATAAAACTCAGGTGCTTCTGAGCAAAGTCTGTCTCTTGAATAACAAAAGTTGACCTGATGGCTCTCCCTGTGAAGATGCATCCACCATAATACAGTCTGCAAAGCGACGTATGGATTGCTGGATGGTGGTGTGCAGAGAACTTGCTAGTGGTCTGTGGCGTTCTGGCCACTCACATGCTCTCTCTTTCTTTCCAGCTGCTAACTCGTATTTTTTAAGGCTACAAGTTCATTAAATACTTTCCCGTTCTTACCTGTAAATCGTTGCTGTTCGTGCACAGGGATGGTACTGGATTGCTAGTGGGAACAGAGAAAGCGTCTGGCCCTGGATGGAGGGAGAAATGTCCAGCAGATCAGGTTCTCCATTAATATTCAGACCATACTATGAAATCAAAGTTGGAGCCTCCAGGCCCTAAAATGGACATTTACTTAGTGACAATAAAACATTTTTTCTAGTGTGTTGTCAAAACAAAACCCTAAATGTATCCACGTATCTGTACCCATGTACAGAGAAAGCGTCTGGCCCTGGATGGAGGGAGAAATGTCCAGCAGATCAGGTTCTCCATTAATATTCAGACCATACTATGAAATCAAAGTTGGAGCCTCCAGGCCCTAAAATGGACATTTACTTAGTGACAATAAAACATTTTTTCTAGTGTGTTGTCAAAACAAAACCCTAAATGTATCCACGTATCTGTACCCATGTC